CGTCCGCCAGACATTTTTTGGTTCTCACTAATAATTCGTGATCAGATCAGAGCAAGTTGTTTTTGCTGGGACCCATACGGTGAACAGGATTGCGATCGCTTCAAAGAACATTCTGAATCGAGATACAGATCACTTTGTTGGACGGTTCCATCTTTCTGCGACATGGGAACATTACAGTAATTTAGAAAGAGATGTGTTGAGGGGTGCACTTTGCTATTTGCGTTGCCAAATAAATAGTAGGCTAATTGTTCTGGAAACTCCTGGAACTGAATGCGCTTTTCGACCGAGAATTGGCTTTTTTTTAACAAAACTGCAAATCCTTGTTGATTTTGTTACTAAGTTACTCTTGAGCTTCGTTGGTCCCTTTTCAAAAACCCTCAGGTTGCCCACTGGTGTAAATGGTGGCTTCTGGAAACGTGAATATTCCAGAGATGCAGACGGTCTTTCCCCTCCTATGTGGAATGGAACAGTGTTTAAGCCACCAGATTGTGCTGCAAATGCAACTTGTCCCTATGGGCTCATGAACTACTTCCAGGTTTGTTTTGCTCGGTGTTTCTGAGGCTCCTGACCTTGCACATGCACAACGTGTAGCTCATGGACATCTTGCGAGATGGCTTTCCATGCCATATTGGTATAATTTTAGATCATGGAGATGGAGTCTTTTTGGGGACCACTCATCACTGCAGGAATTTTTGCTGCCACTCTGAGCTCTGCACTCGCCAGTCTTGTTAGCGCTCCCAAAGTATTCCAGGTATGACATCATACTTTCTTTCTTGCAGATCATCTCGGTTCATCATTTTTTCTTTTTTCTTGGTCTCATATGACTGTTCTGGGTGTACGTCTTCAAGATTACCTTGCTTATTATATTCCTTTTAATTTTTTTTTCAATTCAAAATTTATTTCTCTTATAATCAAACCATCTCACAATTCTTTTATTGTTCAGATCCTTTTCAAATCATTTCAGGCTGTGTGTAAAGATAGGTTGTTCCCAAAAATTGGATATTTCGCCAAAGGTTACGGGAAGAATGAAGAACCAAGGAGAGCTTACGCTCTGACATTCATTATAGCCATGGCCATGATAGGAATAGGTGAGGATCTGATATTCGGTTTCGGCTGATAATTTGGTGTTGATTTGGCTAGTCTTATTAAAGCTGAATGCTGTGGATATACCTTGAAGTAGACGTTGAGTTTGATCGGAGAAAACCCACCTCTGCCTCGAAGGTCGAGAGGGATTGCCTAAGCATGGAAGCAATTTTTGCTTCGGTTGCAATTTTCATTATCAATTTTCACCTATTGTATGAAAACTGATTTTTTAGGTGACCTCAACGCTATTGCTCCTATTATTTCCAATTTTTTCTTAGCATCATATGCCCTTATAAATTACGCGTGCTTTGATGCATCGTTTGCTGACTCTCCAGGTATAGTCTTGGCTTTTTTTTTGCAGTGACGATTTTAGTGTCAAGATAACACTCCCACGGTTTCTTAATCCGAAAACTCTCAGGTTTTCGACCTGGTTTCAAGTATTACAACATGTGGGTATCCCTTGGAGGAGCTCTACTTTGCATTGTGGTGATGTTTATTATCAGCTGGGCTACAGCTCTGATCACATTCTTCTGCTTCGCTGCCTTGTTCATGTACATATTGCATCGGAAGCCAGGTAAGCTATGCTCAAGCAAATTGAACCTAAAGGCACAGTCCATGATAAAAATTTTTGTTCTGATTTCTGAGATTTTCCGCAAGATTAAATTTGTGACTTCCAAAAAGAAATAATGTGCATGGGCTGTTGTCGGGCCGAGAAACGGCCTAAACAAGGCGTAGTAAGGGTTTCAAAAATGGTTTTGCCGACGAAGACACCCTAAATAGTCGTGCTATAACGACCTTCTTATTACCGCACTATTCACAGGACGAGATGAATAGTATGCTTTAATGAGAGGCGCCCAGACGGCCGTCTCGTACAACCCCTTTCTTTTTACTTTTTGTAGTCTTATATTTTTAGAATTCTATGATTTTGCGTTTTTTTCTCGCCACCCATGCATTATAATGCATTATGACCTCCATTACTTCTTCTAAAACTGTTACCTCAAACTTATCGTGATAAGTTCCAGTTTAGCTCTGGTTTGATTGCAGATGTCAACTGGGGATCCTCTACTCAAGCACACAGTTATAAGAATGCTCTATCGGGTATGATCAAGTTGTCTAATACGGAGGAGCATGTGAAAAACTACAGGTATTTCCTTAACTTCTTCAAAGCAACTATGAGTTCCCTACAGTTTGGTCTTTTAGACCTCAAATGTTGGTACTATGTGGAAATGCCGCATCAAGACCGTCCCTTGTTGACTTTGCTAACAATATCACAAAAGGAACGTCATTGATGATTTGTGGATATGTGGTGCCGGTTCGTAATTTCAAGATTTCTACCATTCAACATCGATTTCTCTATTTATATTATTTTTATTATTATTTTTTAATTTTTGTATTCCAGTACGATCCGTCAGATCGAGTCTATTCTGTGATGCGAAAGTTAGAGAGGCAGCTGACTGAATGGTTGAGGAAACGACGTGTCAAGGCGTTTTACGCTTCAGTTGCAAATGCCAGCCTTCGAGCCGGATCGCAATCTCTCTTACAGGTTAGCAAGAAGTAGAGAACAGACCATTACAGAAACGGACCATTTCGATTTATTCCATGACTGATTCCAATGCTGCTGGATTGATTCTGCCTTGTTGAAGGTCTGCGGTCTCGGGAAACTCCGTCCGAATATCATTTTGATTGGCTTTAAGACAAACTGGAACCGAGGAGGGCCAACCACACTCGCTCTGAACGAACTTAATGAGTACTTTGGGACAATCCAGTCAGTTTGCTTTGTCATTTTAGTGAGGAATTCGGTCCATCTGAGAATCACTTGAATAATGCTCTACTTCAGGGATGCATTTGATAACAACATGGCAGTGTGTGTACTACGAAATAGCGAGATGGGGCTAGATTTTAGTGAAGCCATGAGACTTCTGAATGTCGGAGAGACTAAACGACTTGACATTAATCTCGATGAAAAGGAGATGGAGAAGGAAGGGTACGTTTTTGGTTTCTATTCATGAGAGGTTACTTGCTCGTGTTAAATTGAATTCGCTAATGATGATTCAACGATAAAGGATAAGGATAAAGTTTTTGGCGTTAATCAATCCCGCCTGAGGGATGCGCCCCCGCACTCGACTTCTATTC